CATGGCTATGGTGTGGGCCAGGCACGTGGCTGAGAATACACAGCTGAGAGGAGAGCTCAGAAAAAGCTTCGTGGGGACATTGGGTCTGGGATAAGGCTTTAAACAATTTTCTGTTGTTGACATAGGGACTTGATGTGAACCAAGGCTCGGAGAGGGGGATGCAGAAGGTGTTTGCAGGGGACAGTGGGTAAGCCCATCAGTCCTGGAGTGTGTTGGGGAGGTGGACAGTGTGACGGTAAGGTGGGCACAGGTCAGCATTTGAGAGCCCAGCAACGCCAGGCCAAGCCATTTGCCCATGTGGGCCCCATGGCCTTCAAAGTGAGGTGTGCAAGACAGTAATGTGTGTGGAAGAATAGTTTGGCATGCTATTTGTCTCTCTCATCCTTTTGACTACTTTTTTATATCAGATGTTTAATAATGTGCGTATCAATAGAGTAGTATCTAATTTCTAAATGAGTAAGTATATAAAAGCTGCGAGCACGTTCTCCCATAAGTAGGAGCATGGCCTCTTGGAGCCAGCTTGTCTCCATGCAGATCCTAGCTCCACTGCTTGCTCTCTGTGTTATTTTGGGTGAGCTGATTTCTGTGCCTCCACATCTTCCTCAGTAAATGGGAAGATAGCACTGTCTCATAGGTTGGTTGTGGGGGTTAACAGAATTAAGAGCTGAGCAGTGCCCGGCATGGTCTCTGGCATATGGTAGGCAGTCAGTGACCGTTAGTTGTTACTGTTCCTACTTGGTGCTGCCACCATCACAACCGGCCCCCAGAGGGGTCGATGATCCCAAAAGGCGAAGGCCACTGATGTAGATGGCGAGTGAAAGATGTTGCCCTCAGAAAAGCTGTGTTCTAGAAAAATGAATACTGTACGTTGAAGTAATGCTGAGGATTCCTACTGATATGTGAGTGTGTGCATAAGAGAGAAATAAGTCGATCTTCAGCAGTCTTGACTGAATGTGTGAGCATGCTTCACAGAGAGGTTCCTTGGGTCAGTCAGTGTTCTCTACCTTCCTGTAGATCATAGTAAAGACTCTAAGAGCTAAGATTAGTTCTGATTTTTAAGGGTCCAGTTCCTACCTATGGAGTTGTTATTCCTTGCACCTGTTTTGTTTTGAATTACAGCCCTGCCCTCAGACCCCATCACAAAGCTTGATGAGTCAGGAAAGGAACACCGTCACACTGTCCCAGACAAAGGAGGCTTTCATCATTCACGGGGGGATATTTGAAGTTCAGAGACTGAAAGGGGGATATAGGATCCTCCTAGATAGATTAATCTAGCACTTTTCCAAGTTCATTTTTCACCTTGGAAGACACACTTTCCATCCTCGCCTACCGTTATTGTTTGGGACTTTTTATGACTGAAGATAATTCTTTAAAAACACAATGCAACAAAACATCACATTGCAGGCACACTAGCAGGCTTCTGTCGTTTCCCAGAATTCCTATAAAATATCTGATGATATGTGATTCTCCCATTATGTGATACGATTTGCTTGGTGGGTCTCTGTCCCATGAAAATAGCATTATTTGTTGTTTGCTTTCAGCTATGCCATTCAAACAGGAATACCTTATTGCTTTTATTGGGGAAGCATTTTTAAGATTGCAGAGCATATGTACTTGTTGCATTGCCCTGGGATTTATTTAGAGCACCCAATATATTTCAGTTACTGAGGACTAAGTTAGTTGGCTGTTGAAAAGCACTGTGGCTGAGTATAACCAGGCAGTTTGGCAGCCACCCCAGAGGGCTCAAGTAAAATCAGCTCAGGGGCCTAAAGGAAAGTATAAATAAGTAATAAAACTCTTTCTATTTTAAGCCATATTATTGTTCACAACATTCTTCTATTTCTCAGTACTATGTACCTCCATCCTCTCTACCCTGTCCTTCCGTGGCAGATTTCTCAATGTCATGGGAATTCTTTGTTGTGGGGACTGTGCCGTGCATTGTAATGTTTGGTAAGCATCACCCCAGTAGATTGCCCGTAGTACCCACCCTCCCAGCTGTGACAGCAAAAATGTCTGCAAACATTTCCACCTGTTCCCTGGAGGGAGCAAAATCACCCATGATTGAGAACCTTTTCTGCACAGTACCTGTGGATTTTTACCATCGTCCTGTGTGGACAGGGTGTGCTGCAGCTCCTTTAAATGCCAGTGGTCATGGAAGAAACCATTCCTGACCCATGAACAAATTGTTGCCCCACAGACTACAGTGAGCTGTGCGTGGGAATAAGAGGAGGGGAGGGACAATATAGAAATCTCAAAGGAAGCACCTTTCTTCTCTTGGTCTCTCTCTCTCTCTGCTGGAAAGGTGCTATGAATGTGTAAGCCAACTCGCTTTCAGGATCCTAGTTTTGTATAGTTCGCTTCCTGTCCCAGTCCCAACGTGCCTCTGATCCACTTGCAAAACGTGTAGTTGGAACTTAATTTCTGCCCTCCCCAGACTCAGGGAGCATAATAAAATTCTAGGCTCTATTTACCTAGGGGAGCTTTGGAAAATAACACATAATTAGAATTTTCTCACTTCTGTTTTTTGAAATGCTAGAGTATCTTTATTACTGAGTACACTTGTTGTCTATTTCATTGAGCCTCTCTTGGGCTGGAGGCAACAGGCTGTGTGGAAAGATCTTCTCTAGGAAAAGAGGTTCTGCTGAAAACTAAACCTAGGACATCAAAATTTTAATTTTGAGTTAAACAGAAAGCTTTCTCCAGATTCCCAGATTCAGACCTCAAAAAGGAAAACTGGAGGATAAATCTACATGAGGGTGCTAAAAATACATAGTGATTATATTTGCTTTATTTTCAAAAAGCTCTTAAAAATTATGTGTGCCTCAGATATGTAAATGAGTAGTAAGTTTGTGACTTGACTCTCAAAACTGTTACAATATATAAAAAATAAGAATTTTAAAAGCACATCCTTAATACCTCTTTTAGAAATTGTCAGAATTCTTATGTGTGCTTCTTTGTCTAAAAGTATAGCTACAGGGGCACCCGGGTGGCTCAGTTGGTTAAGCGTCTGCCTTTGGCTCAGGTCATGATCTCAGGGTCCTGGGGTCTAGTCCCACATCGGGCTCCCTGCTCAGCGGGAAGCCTTCTTCTCCTTCTGCCTGCCGCTCCCCCTGCTGGTATTCTTTTTTTTTTTTTTAAAGATTTTATTTATTCATTTGAGACAGAGAGATACAGAGAGCGAGAGCATGAGCAGGGGAGAGGCAGAGGGTGAGGGAGAAGCAGGCTCCCCGCCAAGCTAGGAGCCAGACGTGGGGTTCGATCCCAGGACCCTGGGATCATTACCTGAGCTGAAGGCAGACGCTTAACCATCTGAGCCACCCAGACGTGCCACCCCCACCCCCTCCCCGCTTGTATTCTTAAGCTCTCTTGCTCTCTCTGTCTCTCTCTCTGGCAAATAAATAAAATCTAATAAATAAATAAATAAAGTATAGCTGCAGGGGCCTGGGTGGCTCAGTCACTTAAACGTCTGACTCCTGGTTTCAGCTCAGGTCATGATTTCAGGCTGGTGGGATTGAGCCCTTTGTCAGGCTCCATGCTGGGCAAGGAGCCTGCTTAAGAAAGATTTTCTGTCCCTCTCCTTCTGCCCCCCCCACCCCTCTCTCTCCCTCTCTTAAAAAAAAAAAAAAGAGGCTAGCTACAGATATTAAAATGAAGCCTTACTTTCTGTTTTTATTAAAGGCAATTGTTGAAAAAATAAGCAAATTAAATCTTAACCGAATTTCTCTTGCTACTGTCAATAACAAGAACTTTCTGTGCCTTCTCTTCACATCAGGAGAATGTGAATATTCTGAATGTTTTGGTAAATCTTTTTTTTCTTCTAACTTTTGCATAATTTTTCAGTCACCCTATTAAGTTAATTATACATCAAAATATAAAGAATTTTTAAGAATACAGAATCAAGCTCATGATACTCCTTAGAGCAAACATATGGGCAACAGTATTCTTTTCCCTGTTTTATTAAGAAACCCATTCACTGCTGTTGAATTCCTGATTCTGTTGAAATACACAGTCACTAACATCCATTTCCCATATGTCTTATGATTCTGGAAAACTACCTTTGGAGAGTGAATTCCACCAAAGTTATCCACAGAGTTTTTCCTGTCTAAATTGGTAAGAAGAAAAAGTTAGTCCATCTCTTATATACGTGCTTTTTTTCCCAGCTTTATTAAGATACAATTGACATATAACATTGTATAAGTTTGTGTACAACACAGTAGTTTGACATATGTATATATTGCAAAATAATTACCACATTAAGGTTAGTTAGCACATCGTCACCTCACATAATTACAATTTTGTTTTTGTGGTGAGAACTTTTAAGTTCTACTCTCTTAGCAACTTTTAAATATACAATACGATACAGTATGGTTAACTATAGTCACCATGCTCTCACATCTCCAGACCATATTCGTATTATAACTGGAAGTTTGTACCCTTTGACCACCTTTACCTATTCCCCCCCCATCCTGCAACCACCACTCTGCTCTCTATTTCCGTGAGTTTGGGTTTTTTTAGATTCCACATATGAGTGAGGTAATACAATATTTGCCTTTCCCTGTCTGAGTTATCTTACTTCTCTTAATGCCCTCAAGGTCCATCCATGTTGTTGCAAATGGCAGAGTTTTCTTCTTTTTTGTGGCTGAATAATATTCGTGTGTGTACATGTGCATGTGTATATGGCACATTTTCTTTATCCATTCCTCCGTTGGTGGACACTTAGGTTGTTTCCATGTCTTAGCTATTGTAAATAATGCTGCAGTGAACATGAGAGGGCAGGTATGTGTTCAAGATAGTGTTTGCATTTCCTTCAGATATATTCCCAGAAGCGGAATTTCTAGAATATAGTTCTATTTTTAATTTTAATTTAATTTTTTTAAGTAATCTCTACACCCAGCATAGGGCTTGAAGTCACCACCCTGAGATCAAGAGAAGCACACTCTACTGACTGTACCAGCCAGGCTTATTTTTAATTGTTTTATTAAGATTATTTATATATTTAGGGACGTCCGTTCATCCTCGGTGTAGGGATTACTTAGTGCCGGCCCTTCGACGTTTGGTTTTTTCTTCTCCTGGACAGGAGGCCTCTGCAGCAACCATGTTACGCCAGATCATCGGTCAGGCCAAGAAGCATCTGAGCTTGATCCCCCTCTTCATATTTATTGGGGCAGGAGGTACTGGAGCAGTGCTGTATGTCTTGCGCCTGGCATTGTTCAATCCAGATGTCAGTTGGGATAGGAAGAATAACCCAGAACCCTGGAACAAACCGGGTCCCAATGATCAATACAAGTTCTACTCAGTGAATGTAGATTACAGCAAACTGAAGAAAGAAGGTCCAGACTTCTAAATGAAATGTTTCACTATAAAGCTGCTTAGGATGAAGGTCTTCTAGAAGCCATCCGCACAATTTTCCACTTATCCAGGAAATATTTCCCCTCTAAATGCACGAAATCATGTTGGTGTATTGTGTTGGGGTTTACACTGAATAATAAATACCTGAAACTTGGGGGAAAAAAAGATTATTTATATATTTATTTGACAGAGAGAGACACAGCAAGAGAGGGAGCACAAGCAGGGGGAGGGGGAGGCAGGCAGAGGGAGAAGCAGTCTCCCCACCGAGCAGGGAGCCCAATGCAGGGCTCAATCCCAGGACCCTGGGACCATGACCTGAGCCGAAGTCAGACGCCCAACGACTGAGCTGCCCAGGCGCCCTTGTACCATACTGTTTTGATTACTATAGCTTTGTAATAGGTGTGATATCTACAGCTTTGCTCTTCTTTCTCAGGATTGCTTTGACTATTCAGGGTCTTTTGTGGCTCTACAAATTTTAGGAGTATTTTTTCTATTTCTATTTCTATTAGAATCTTGAGGGATTGTGTTGAATCTATAGATGGCTTTGGGCTTTTAACAAAATTAATTAGGGCCAGGTGAACGCGGAAGTACAGGACGTGAGGGTGTGCTGGCTGCTCCGACCGTGGTGGGGCGACTGGTGCGAGAGGGAAGAGGGCGCAGCTGCGGATGATGGTCGGGACGGTCCCCGGGAGCGGCTAGGCTTGGGTGAAGCTGGGAGGCAGCAGCAGAACCACGAAGTGCGGTCTCAATCCCAGGCCGACCGGTTTCCAAAGCATTCCTACTGGTTGGATCTCTGGCTCTTCATCCTCTTGGATGTAGTGTTGTTTATCTTCGTGTATCTTTTACCATGAATGGTTTGCCTGATGTCTAGATTAAGAAGTTGGCTCCTGGAGTGGATTCTGAAAATGACTACAAACTTCTTGAACATAGAAGACAGGATTGTGCAACAGAATTTTAAACTCTGAGGGACTTTCTTTCATTTTACATACTCTTGTTACTCCTTTTGGGGACTATATTAAATGGGTAATCTCACCCATTCATAGCTTAAGTTCTTAAAACTACTCTTTGATTCATGTTTAAAAACTTTTCAGACATCTGATAGCTTTATAGGGGCTGCATATTAAAGCATTTATACGTAAAGGTTTAATGTATTCATTAACAAATATGGTAATGTCTTGCCTTTAACATTTTAAGGATTAGCCAGGGGTTAGTATGATGCAAAAATGTGGTGAAATATTAAGGTGACGTATTTAAAAATAAATTACTCAAAAGCAATGGAAGAAAAAGGAGTTAAGGGCTGTACAGAAAGTGCAGGCCCAAAATGTATTGGCTGTTAAGTACCAATTTAATTTTTAGATTAAGTGGGCCTCTGTTATGGTTGCCAGATTGATACAATCTCAGAGAAAGTATAAATATCCAACATTGGAAATCTAGTGTGCATGTCCTCTTACCTGGATGCTTCCCCTTGCTTCATTTTAAGTTCCCGAACTTCCCTAAAATAGGACTGTGTTTGAAACCTATTTTTTATTATTGTGATTGTATTAAGAATGCTTGTAGCTAAAATATGTTTTTGTTTTTATAATGTCTTTACCTTAAATACTTCAGCAAAGTCATTTCAGCAAATATTTGATCACTTACTCGGCCAGGTACAGTAGTAAGCAAAAAAGACAAAAAATCCTTGCCTTCATGGAGCTTACATTCTTTTATATCTAAATGTTAGTAAGAATTTACATTCTAGGAGTGAACAGCTGGTGTTAAATCAGAAAGGTCACGCTCCCAAAGCAGCTACTAAAAGCCCTTCAGAAGCTAGTCCTATTATATAACAGATACTCCTTTATGTAACAGATGTTAGAAGTGGGCTCTTGTGGGGGCACCTGGGTGGCTCAGTCGTTGAGCGTCTGCCTTTGGCTCAGGTCATGATCCCAGGGTCCTGGGATTGAGCCCTGCATCGGGCTCCCTGCTCGGCGGGAAGCCTGCTTCTCCCTCTGTGTTCCCCCTCGCTGTGTCTCTGTCAAATAAATAAATAAAATCTTAAAAAAAAAAAATTAATTAATGACTTTTAACAATATTAATTCTTCCAATCTATGAACACTGGATATCTTTCCATCCGTTTGTGTCCTCTTCCATTTCTTTCATCCGTGTCTTATAGTTTTCAGTGTATAGACCTTTTGTCTCTTTAGTTAAGTTTATTCTTAAGCATTTTTATTGTTCCTGATGCTCTTGTAAAGAGGGTCATTCTCTTTATTTCTTTTTCAGATAATTCATTGTCAGTGGATAGAAATCCAACCAATTTTTGTATGTTGATCTTGTATCTTGAAACTTTACTGGATTCATTTTAAGTTCTAGTATTTTTTTAGCAAAATCTTTAGGATTGTCTATGCATAAGATATGTCATCTGCAAATAGAGACAATTTTACTTCTTTTCCAATTCAGATGCCTTTTATTTCTTTTTCTTGCCTGATTGCTCTAGCTGGGACTTCTAGTACTACACTGAATAGGAGTGCTAAGTTGGCACCCTTGTCTTATTCCTAATCTTAAAGGAAAAACTTTCAACCTTTTACATTGTGCATGATGTTGGCTATGGGCTTGTCATATGTGGGCTTTTTGATGTTGAGATATGTTCATTCTGAATCCAGTTTGTTGAGCATTTTTGTCATGAATGGATATTGAATTTTGTCCGATGTTTTTTCCTATGTCTATCAAGATGATCATATGATTTTTATCTTCCATTCTATTAATGTGATGTAGCATATTGATGATTTGCATATATTGAGCCATCCTTGCATCTGAGGGATGAATCCCCCTGGATTATGGTGTAAATCTTTTTAATGTGCTGTTGAATTTGGCTTGCTAGTATTTTGTTGAATAATTTTACATCTATACCAGGGATGTTGGCCTGTAGTTTTCTTGTAGTGTTCTTATCTAGCTTTGGTATCAGAGTAATGCTGACCTTGTAAAATGAGTTTGGTAGTGTTTCCTCTTCTTCAATTTTTGGGAAGAGTTTGGGAAGGATTGGCATTGATTCTTTTTTAAATATTTGGTAGAATTCACCAGTAAAACTATCTGTCCTGGGCTTTTCTTTGTTGGGAGGTTTTTTGATTACTTATTCAATCTCCTTACTCATTATTGATCTTTTCAGATTTTCTGCTTCCTGATTCGGTCTTGGTGGGTTTCTAGGCATGTTTCTAGGAATTTATCCATTTCTTCTAGGTTGTCCAATTTGTTGCCATATAGTTGTTCATATAAATACCTTTATTTCTTTGCTTTGTTTATTCCTGTGCTCCACTAGACCCTCAGATAATATAATGCATTTATTCAATAAAATCATGTATGCATCCAACTCCTAGTAGAGTGCTGACCATTCTGACTCCCTGGCTACCCCGAACCTCTTCCTCCATGTCCCATATGTGAACTTTTGCTCTTCGATTAGTAGGTTTAATCTTTGCTCTTGTGCTTCATTTGTCTTTCCTTTCCAAATTAGTAGTTCTTTTTAATGTAATAGTCATTGAGGGAGAAGGCTCTGGAGTTAAAATTATCTGGGTTCAAGTCCCAGTTCCACTGACAGCTTAGATTTCTCAGCCTTTGTTTTCTCCTCTGTAAAATGGAGAAACAAATAGTTTTGGGGGGATAGTTGTAAAAACTAAAAGTGAGATAAAATGGAGTGACTCTCATGGCCAGATCTTCTGTCTCCAGGAGAGAGAAGGGAAGAATGTTTTTTAGGGCAAGAAGGGGGTCTTCTGAAACTGTTCTAAAAGTCTCCTTAGTCCTAGCCTCTGTGTGCAGATGAGTTCTGGGATCCCTCTGCACGGGTGAGTTCTGGGATCTCTCTTGAGTGTAGTCTGCTGCTGTCTGCTGCTAGATTCCTAGCAAGTCTAAATCAACATGTATGGTTTTTGTTTGTTTGTTTAGCTAAATGAGGTAGACTGTTGTCTTCCTGCTTTATCCTCCACTTTTATTCTTTATTAATGAAGGGGATGTATGTTATATACTTGAATTAATGGCACTCTGGAGGAGTTGTTAGGTATATACAGGTATCAGATTTTAATTTGTACCCATGTTCATAACTGAATAGGTAATCCTCTATTTTCTTTAGGATCTTGGTCAGTCTCCTATTTGAGATGCCTTGTTAATCTTAAAGTAAACTTTCTGGTGAGGGGAATATCTTTTAATTAACTTTCTGAGAATTACCTTTCCAAAAAAAGCTCTAAAGTTGTTTAGTTATTTTTTTATATCAGATGGATTTAATGGGTTTTTTAAATTGTGACTTTGAAGAATTTATAAGTGCCAGAAAATTCCATCACCTTTGTTAATCTTCAAAGAAATCAGTATAATTAACATCTTAAATGTGCTTTTTGACTTTTTTTCCTTATTCACTACTTAAGCCTTTAAAAAGTATCTTTATTTCATGTAGATGGTAAGACATGTTTTATTCACAAGTTTAAGTCAGTTTATAGCAAATAGACTTTATGCCTTTCCTTTCTTCTATTACAAGATATATAGTAATTTTTATATCTAACACATTGTTTCTGAAATGCAATTTCTCACTTTATAATTGATTTTTTTCAAGTATGTGAGACACTTCCTAGTCCAATTAGCAAACTATTCTTTTCATACTGAGAAGCAATATTCATTGATCATTGATCAATCTATTTGAGAGAAAATTCAGCCTTCAGGTTTGATTTTCAGATGTGTATTTAGAGAACAGAGATGCAAGGCAGTAATTTGTTTTAAAATTTATGATTGAGCATATGCTCATATGTGTGTGTGTGTGTGTATGCATTCAGAATTAAGGTGCTAGAAATTCTAGTCCATGTTCTTCAAAGGAAACCCTGATAGTGAATTACAGATGTCATATAATCCATGGCCACTGAATCAAAAGGTACCAGGAGGCATATTTCTGAAGAAAATTAATACCAGTGCCCTCCACTGTATAATCTCTAAGCAGTGCTGAGGCTCTTGCTCATGTGCCCACTCCTCCAGACTCCTCAACCTTATTAGAGAAAGAAGGAGGACCATGCTGTTTTGCCAATGTGTCTTAAAGGCTCCCTTCATCTGTTTAGGGTGAATGTATGATTTACTTTGTTAATCTCCCTTTGTCCTAGCTTTTCCTTCTTTGTGGTTTCTCTGATGTTTACTTCTTTTCCCTCCTGAAGGA